TCAAATGTGACTGTAGTTTTTTCTCCCCAAAACTTTGTCTTCAAAATAAGGGTGCGTCTGATACACCAAAAAATACGGTATTATATCAATAAATAAATAAAATTTAGATAACGATCAACCATACCATGCCTAAAAATGAAACAGATTAGTTTTTTTTCTTGACTAATAACAAGGTGAGAAGTTATTTTATTATTATCTCAAAACGTCGTGTATGTTCTCTACTCACCGGTTCTGCAGCACTCAGAATTGACATAGAACTAGTTCGTTTGATGCTGAAAGGAGAAAGAAATCAATGAAGTGTAACACCAATATAATACTGAATAAATTCTTGTATACTTTTCAAAGCAGAATACACAGTACCTAAAGCTTGGCAAAGTGTACAGAAAAACTCAGTTTTGTACTAGATAGCTCCCACTTTTCTACACTTATTTTAAAAATAATTCAACAAGATATCCTGATAATATTAAATAACAGAAATATACCAGGAAATATTTGCAGAATAGAAACATTTTTAAATATTAGTGTTTTGCAGAATAGCCTGACTAATCTTTGTTTCAGAAACTGAAATACATGGATAGCATATATTAGGGATCAACAAATTATAAGTATATTATATTTTGCACTTGGTTAAATAATAATTCACAAATAATAAATTTTTGCATAAGGCAAAATTATAACAACCTAAGCTCTGAAAATGAAACTGTTCAATAACATAATCTTGACATATCACACTTCACCTTCTTTTAACTTGAAATCCATGATGACCATTGTGGTGTATGGAGACAGCATGGAAATTTTAATGAAAATCTATTGACCAGCATTTTCTCAAGATCTCATCCCCACTAAACGCATCTAGGATCAGCATCAAGAGTAGTAGTGTGTCAGGTACTGTTGTAGAGTGGTTCCATAGGAGTAGTAGTGTGTCAGGTACTGTTGTAGAGTGGTTCCATAGGAGTAGTAGTGTGTCAGCTACTGTTGTGGAGTGGTTCCAGAGGAGTAGTAGTGTGTCAGATACTGTTGTGGAGTGGTTCCATAGGAGTAGTAGTGTGTCAGGTACTGTTGTAGAGTGGTTCCATAGGAGTAGTAGTGTGTCAGATACTGTTGTGGAGTGGTTCCAGAGGAGTAGTAGTGTGTCAGGTACTGTTGTAGAGTGGTTCCATAGGAGTAGTAGTGTGTCAGGTACTGTTGTAGAGTGGTTCCATAGGAGTAGTAGTGTGTCAGGTACTGTTGTGT